ACCGACTGACCCAGCGCCACCGTTCACGTGCGTCCCCCACACCACTTTCGGCGCACCTCTCACACGTTTCGTGGCCCCATAGGGGGCTCCAGCGAAGGCCCCAGTGCCACCGCCCACGTGCGTCCCACACACCCATGTAGGCACACCCCTCACACGCTTCGTGGCCCCATTTGGAGCTCCACCGAAGGCCCCAGTGCCACCGTCCATATGCGCCCCCCACCCATGTCGGCAAGCTCCTCACACGTTCCGTGGCCCCATAGGGAGCACCGTCCACATGCGTCCCCGCACCCATTTCGCACAATCGTCACTTCGTGGCCCCATAGGGAGCTCCACCGACTGGCCCAGTGCCACCGTCCACATGCGTCCCCCACACCTATGTCGGCACACCCCTCACACGTTTCGTGGCCCCATAGGGAGCTCAACCGACTGACCCAGCGCCACCGTTCACATGCGTCCCCCGCACCCATTTCGGCACACATCTCACATGCTTCGTTGCCCCATTGGGAGCCCCACTGGAGGCCCAAGTGTCACCGTCCTCATACGTCCCCCACACCCATTTTGCCACACCTCTCACATGTTTCTTGGCTCCATAAGGAGCTCCACCGCATGCCCCATTGCCACCGTCCACATGCGTCCTCCACACTCATTCTGGTACACCCCTCACACGTTTCGTGGTCCCATAAGGGGTTCCACCGAATGCCCCAGTGCCACCGTCCACGTGCGTCCCACACGCCCAGCTCGGCGCACCCCATACACGTTTCGTGGCCCCATAGGGAGCTCCGTCGACGGCCCCAGTGCCACCGTCCACACGCGTCCCCCGCATCCATGTCGCACACCGCTCACACGCACGCTTCGTGGCCCCATAGTGAGCTCCACCGACTGACCCAGCGCTACCGTCCACATGCGTCCCCCACACCTATGTCGGCACACCCCTCACACGTTTCGTGGCCCCATAGGGAGCTCAACCGACTGACCCAGCGCCACCGTTCACATGCGTCCCCCACACCACTTTCGGCACACCTCTCACACGTTTCGTGGCCCCATTGGGAGCTTCACCGAATGCCCCAGTGCCATTGTCCACGTGCGTCCCCCACGCCCATTTCGCCACACCCCTCACAGGCTTCGAACCCCATAGGAACCTCCACCGAAAGCCCCAGTGCCACCATCCACATACGTCCCCACACCCATTGCGGCACACCCCCCAACACGCTTCGTGGCCCCATAGGGAGCTTCACCGACGGATCCAGGGCCACGGTCCACATGCGTCCCCCGCACCCATTTCGCACACCCCTCAAACGTTTCGTGGCCCCATAGGGAGCTGCACCGAAGGCCCCAGCGCTACCGTCCACATGCGTCCCCCACACCTATGTCGGCACACCCCTTACACGTTCCGTGGCCCCATAGGGAGTTGCACCGAAGGCCCCAGTGCCACCGTCCACATGCGTCCCCCACACCAGTATGTCAGCACACGCCTCACACGTTTCGTGGCCCCATACGGGGTTCCACCGAAGGCCCCAGTGCAACTGCCCTCACGGTCCCCCGCACAAATTTCGGCACCCCCCTCACACGTATCGTGGTCCCGTAGGAAGCTCCACCGAAGGGCCAATGCCACCGTCCATATGTGCCCGCCGCACCCATTTCGGCACCCCCCTCATAGGGTTCGTGGCCCGATAGGGAGCGCCAACGAGGAAGATATACACAATTGCGGCACTCACAACTGCATATGGTTGGATCTTTTCAATGTTGAAGAGACAGCGTCGCGCGTTTTTCTCCTCCCTTCCTCCTCCCCTCCCTCCTCCCAGCATCATCATGATCATGCTCATCAGCATTGTCATCATAAGAATCATCATCAGCAGCATCATCGTCGTCTCCATCGCAACATCATCGACATCACGATCATCATCAACACCATTATCATCATAACCATCCTCATCATCATCATCGCCATCATCGTCATCATCATCATGGTCGTCATCATTATCTTCATCGACATCATCATCGTCATCATTACCATCATCATCATCACCATCATCATCATCATCATCATCATCATCATCATCATCATCATCGGCGTCACCATCATCGTCATCATCATCATGGCCATCGGCGTCATCATCACCATCATCTTCACCATTATCGGCGTCAGCATCACCATCATCGTCATCAGCTTCGGCACACCCCTCACACGTTTCGTGGCCACACAGGGAACTCCACCGAAGGCCCCAGTGGCTGCGCCCGCTTGCCTCCCCCACACACACAGTTCGGCACACCCCTCACACGTTTCGAGGCCCCATAGGGAGCTCCACCGAAGGCCCCAGTGGCTGCGCCCGCATGCCTCCCCACCACCAGATTTCGGCACCTTCCTCACACGTTTCGTGGCCCCATAGGGAGCTCAACCGACGGCCCCAGTGCCATCGCCCGCATGCGTCCCCCACCACTGATTTTGGCACCTTCCTCACACGTTTCGTGGCCCCATGGGGAGCTCCACCGAAGGCCCCAGAGTGGCTGCATCCATCATGCCTCCCCCACCACTGATTCCGACACTTCCCTTACTTTTTTGTCGTGGCCCCAGAGGGAGCTGCACCGAAGGCCCTAGTGGCTGCGACCGCATGCCTCCCCACCACCCATTTCGGCATACCCCTCATACGTTTCGTGGCCCTACAGGGAGCTGCACCGAAGGCCCCAGTGCCACCGCCCGCATGCCTCCCCACCACCCATTTCGGCACACCCCTCACGCGCTCCGTGGCCCCATCGGGGGCTCCACCGGAGGTTCCAGTGGCTGCGCCCGCATGCCTCCCCACCACTCTTTGCGGCATGCCCCTCACATGCTCCGTGGCCACATAAGGAGCTCCACCGAAGGCCCCAGTGCCACCGTCCACATGCGTCCCCCACGCCAATTTCGGCACACCGCTCATTCGTTTTCGTGGCCCCATAGGGAGCTCCACCGAAGGCCCCAGTGGCTGCGTCCGCATGCGTCCCCCACACTCATTTCGGCACACCCCTCACACGTCTCGTGGTCCCAAAGGGAGCTCCACGGAAGGCCCCAGTGCCACGGTCCACATGCGTCCGCCGCACCAATTTCGGCATACCCTTCACACGGTTCGTGACCCCATGGAGATCTCCACCAAAGGCGTCAGCGCCACCGCCCGCATGCGTCCCCCACACCATTTCGCCACACCCATCACACGTTTCGTGGCCCCATAGCGAGCTCCACCGAAGGCCCCACTGCCACCGTCCACATTCGTTGCCTACACCCATTTCGGCACACCCCTCACAGGGTTCGTGGTCCCATAGGGAGCGCCACCGGAGAAGATATTCACAATCGCGGCACGCACAACTGCATATGGTTGGGTCCTTCGCCAGGCTAAGGTTTACATGCGGGTTGTGGTTGTGATAGTGGCTCGATCGTTGGTCCTCTACTAGTGTACTAGCGCTGCTCAGATGTCTCCTTACGTCTGTATGTATATTGCCAGATGGGCTCGCTGAATGTTGGGGTTTCTGACCTTAGAGCTCCGAGTGCTTGTACCAGCGATATTGCTAAGACCTTACGGCCAGTGCCGCCGACCCTGAAGACGACGACGACGAATACGAGGAGGAGGAGGAGGAGGAGGAGGAAGGTAGAGAGGGGAAGGAGAAGGCGAAGGAGATGTTCCCCATGTGGGCCGAGGGAGTCGTAGCAGAGACAGACAGGGAGCCTTGTGGCCTGCGGCCCTTCCCGCCATCGTGCTGGGGTTGTGGTTGAAAGGCATCTTGCATGTATTCGGGCCTGTTGGGGCCTCTGTTGGGCCTCTTGGGGGTCTCTTGGGGGCTTCTTCGGGCCCCTTGAGGGGCTCTTGGGGCCTTCCAGAGGCTTCTTGGGGCGGGAAGGTCGAAATGTTAGTTCGTGGTCCTCTTCTTGGGCCTGCTTAGGGCCCTCTTGGCGCGTTTTGGCGCTTTTGAGGGCTCTGGGACGCCCAGGGGCGGATGCGTATCTGACCCCCCCACCCCTGGGACCTCCCGGGACCCCCCCCCCTCCCTCGGCGGGGGAGGGATCAAACGGAAGGGGCTTCCGTTCGACTTACGTACGCCGTTGCTACGGTTTTCTCTCGCTGGCAGGCTTGAAGAGGAGGGTGCAGGGAAAGGGGACAACGGAGACGCAGGGAAAGAGGACAACGGATGCGTCGACTGAACGCACGCCGACAGGGGGTCCACACGCCGACAGGGTCGGCGGATTCACAAAAGCATTGGTCCGCGATCATTCCATATCACAGTGGTAGCTTGGAGCGTGCTTACGGGATCCGTCTGGGCGCTTCGAGCGTGAGTTGTGGCCAGAGGTCAGCGGGCTGAGCAGGCATCAGCACGGCGGGATGGCTTGGGTTCTCAGTCCTTCCAGAATTACTTACCCTTGGGTGGAATTGTCGCAAGAAGGAAGAGGGGGGGAGCGCGCGTCAAGGAAAGGGGGCGGTGCACCAGTCCATCCGAAGATGGGATCAGGCTGGGCAGGCCCGTGGTCAAGTTGGGGGCCTTCGGAAGTCTCTTGGGGGGCCTCTCGTAGGCCGATTGGTTGGGACCCTCTTGGGGCCTTCTTGGGGCTCATCTGTGGGCCTGTTCGGGCAAGAAGGAAGGGAAGAGGTGGGGCGAATGATGAAGGATGAGCAGCGTTGTGTTCAAAACGAGGACCCAACACAGGAGGGTTTGGATGACTACCGTAAGACACATGTTTCATTACGGGTTGGTTACGTGTGATTGTTATCAGATGTCGCCGACATGTGGCCTTGCCCCATTGCACCTTACATGGCCTGTCTGTCCCCTGCCTCCAAGCGAAAAGTCCAAAGTCATGCTTTGGGTTGTCAGGGGGTGCCTGAAGGCTTCCTCTGATGACCTGGAGGCGCCGCGGGCAGCTGCACCGATCACAAGTGGCCCTGCAGAGTCTGAGGCCTTTGAGGGTGTCCGCCACACGACGGAATTGCCTGACGGCATCTTGATACGAGCAGGACCAACAAAAAGTTGCCTTGCGGAGTCGGTGGCTCGAGCACGCGCGCTGCGGCAGCGTCCGCTCGACGCTGGGCGCGCACTGGGCGCGGGCAACCCTCGCGGCGCGATGCCGCCCCTGCCGCTGGAAGAGCGCCTCCGACGCATTCTCGGAAAGCGGCAGGAGTGGCCCAAGCTGAACCTCGTCCACATGAAGCTGGGGGCGGCCGGCGTCACTGGCCTGAGTACCGGAGCGCAGGTGGTCGGACGAGACAGGACGAGGACAAATCCGTTCCAGAGCGTCCCGGAGCGCTCTCAGAACGTTCCAGAACGCTCCTCAGAAGCTCTGAAGAGGCCGCGGCGCCCGAGACATTTTCCAGAGCCGCGCGATCTCAGAGGCCCTCGATGTATCCTCGTCCGAATTGATCCTCGTCCTGGCCCCGTCTTAGGTGCAAATTCTGTGCCTCTCCTCCAACGGCCTGGGTGACGCTGGCGCCGTGGCCCTCTCCAGATGCCTGGCGTGCCTGAGGGGCCTGAGCAGGCTCGAGGCGAGCGACAATGAGATCGGCCCCACGGGAGCGCGGGCCCTGTGCGATGCGCTCGCCGAGGGCGCCACGGTCATGGTCGAGGAGGTTCGAGGAACAAAGGGTGGCATAAACATTTTACGTCGCAGCGCGGCAGAGGCAATCCGCACGCGCGCTCGGCCAAGCCGGGTGACGGCATTGCGAACTGCCCAGATGCAGGAGGGGAAGGAGGGGAAGGAGGGGGAGGGGGGGGGGGGCAGGAGCGGCCGCGGGAGGAGGGGAAGGAACTACTCAATGCGCTCGCTCACGCAGCGGGGACCGCAGCGTGGCGCACGGGGCGGCCAAGCCGATGCAGCACCCCTGGCAGCGGGCACGGGGCGGCGTGGCGACCACACCCGAGAGGATGGCGTAAACGTGCATTTTCGGAGAACTCCGCGCGGACTTCCAAAAAGCTTACGCTTATGGAGCTGGCCTTGCTCCTCGAGAGGTCGTCGTGGCCAGCAACGAGCTCGGCTCGGAAGGGGCCGAGGCGTTCGCGGAGCTCCTCGGGCGGAGCGAGTGTCTGAGGGTGCTCAGCCTCCGCGACAACGGCATCAACGGGGCCGGTGCCCGCGCCCTCGGCGGGGCCCTCGGCCGCAGCAGCCTCGCGGACCTCGACGTCGCAGAGAATCAGATCGGCGCCGCTGGCGCCGCGGCGCTCGGAGATGGCCTGAGGCTTAGACGGCCTTTTTTGGAAAGCGTGAGCCTCGAGTGCGCCCGGACTCCGGTTTGCCGAGGCTTTCGACGAGCCCATCCTGCATGTTGACGGTCCAGTTTTTATGGGATGTTTGCAGCGGGAGTTCGCCTCAAGTTTCAGTCTAGGTCTCGTCATTTCCTGACGGCCCCGTCGGGCCAACCCGAGTCCCCCGAGCCCGTCCGTGTCCTACGTCTCCCCGGAAGATCGGCGTTATTTTCCGTTTGGGGGTCAGTTTTTCTCCATTTGGGGATTCTCGTTCGCGCCGTTTTCAGGTCGATTTCGTGTTGTATTGCCGTGTATGTATGTTTTGAAGATTTGTTTGGATCCCCGTTTGATTGGCCGGACATCGAAATCTAAAAACGAAACAAAATAATGCCCCCAGCGTTTAAACGTCAGCTAAGGCTTGAGGAGCTCTCGCCTCGAGAGCCTCAACGCTCACCAGAACGGCCTTGGAGACGACGGCGTCGGGAACCTTGTCGGAGGACCGCGAGGGCCAGACAACGGCATATACTTGGTCAGTTTCTCTGAGGTCCCCTGGGATGTCCCGGATCGGCGCTGGGCCTCCTTGGCGACGCCTCGCGCCAGGGGCGATCCATCGCCGATCCGAGAAGTCCGCGTTGACCTCTGAGAAATCATGGTTCTGCCAGGTTTTGTTCCCCGAGGATTGGCTGCCTCTCACGAATCTCGGCTCACGATGCTGGACGTCAGCACGAACGCCGTGGGGGACCGCGGCGCCGACGCCGTGGCCTCGGCGCTGCAGGCGGCGGGCTCCTGCCTCCGGGAGCTGAGGGTCTCGAACAACGCGATCGGGGCGCCGGGGGCATGCCTGCTCGCGCAGGCGATCCGCCAGAACAAGAGCCTCAGGTCGGGAGCAAACATGGCAGGAGCATCGTTTATCGGAGGTCCGTGCGGATTTCTTGGATCGACTCTTGTCCCCCCCTCGGAGGCTCGCGCGGATTTCTCGGATCGGCGCTGGACCCCCCTGTCGGCCCCGAAAGCGGAGCTCCTAAAGCTGGTGTTTATGCCAGGTATCTCTGTCTTTCTCTTGCTGCACTCGGTGGAGAGAGCACGTGGCACGGAACACCCGAGGGCTCGCCAGGGACTTTGCCGACCCCACGTGTGAGTTCGTTGGCTAAGTTTGCGCGAGCCCAGAACTACGGAAGGCCCCTGTCGCAACGGCGCCGAAAGCTTATGGGTATGAGGTTGTCCTTACTCTATGAGGGAGCTCTACCTCGGGGGCAACGCCATCACCGTCGAGGGCCTCCGCGGCGTCGCGGCCGCGCTGGCGGCCAACGCCACGCTGGAGGGCGTCTGCTTCCGGTGCTGCGGGCTCGGCAACGAGGGGGCCGAGGCCCTGGGGAGCGAGCTCCACGCCATGGGCGGGCTCAGGTGGCTCGGACTGCAGCACAACGCCATCGGGGACCTGGGCGCGAGATCCCTCGCGAACGGCCTCCGCGGCAACCTCAGCGTCACGTTCGTAGATCTGCACAGGCAGCGCCATGTTTTTGGGGGTTCGAGGTTCGAGGTTTTCTTGCGTTTTCGTTGTTTCTTATTTGTTGCGATCCAGCAGCCGCGCCTCGCCGAGGGCGTCCTGGGGTTGCCCAGATGGTCCCGAACGGGCGCTGGAGCGCCGAGTCATGACCCGAAACAAGGGGCTTGGCATCGCTCAGACGTGTGCATTTTTATTCGGCGAGAGAGGAGCATCTGGGATCATCCGGCGGAAAAATACCACGCGAAATCGCACAGCGCACGAGGAATGGACGACCGAGCGATGGCAAGGGGGGGGAACATGCTCATGGGGGGAGGCATCCACCCCCCCAGTCGCCCATGCATCATCGCCAGGGGTCCGCCGCCCAGGAACGGGCGGCTTCGCTCTCTGGGACCTCTCGCCGATCTGTCGGCGATGCATCGCCGATTCAAGGTCGATGCTTCCTTCCCTCCCCGAGCCAGTTCCCCCGAGCGGTGCCCTTCGAGGAACGAGATCGAGGACGCGGGCGCTGCGGACCTCGCCGCCGTGCTGCGCGCCAGCGCCCGGTTCAAGAGCGTCACGCTCTCGCGCAACAAAATCGGCGACCAGGGCGCCACGGAGCTCGCAAGCGCGCTCCGGGAGAACGGAGGCCTCGCGGAGCTGAACGTCAGCAAGAATTGGATCGAGTACGACGGCGGGCTAGCGATCGCGGACATGCTCGGGCGGAACGTCAGCCTCGAAGAGCTCTACCTCCGTAGCAACAAGATCTGGATCCAGACCGTGGAGCGGCTCGCGGAGCTGGTGCCCCGCAATAGCACGCTGCGTGTCCTCGACGTGGGCCGGTGCCAGATCGGCGTCAAGGGGGCCTTGGCCATGCAGGGGCTTCTTGGGAAGTGCGCGCAGCTCAGGTCCCTCTGGCTCGACGGCAACCAGATCGCCGACAAGGGTGCCGCGTCTATCGCGGCTGGCGCAACGAGTCACAGGGAATTGGCGGAGCTCTTTCTGTCGAGCAACGACATCGGCGACACGGGCGCCAGTGCTTTCGCCGAGGTCATCCGTGAAAGTCGTCTCGCCGTCCTCGACCTGGATGGGAATGCCATCACGGACAGGGGAGCGAATCTCTTGGCGGACTCCATCCGCAGACGGGGCAGGCCGCTGGCCGAGATCGGCCTCCGCGACAACGTTGGCATCACGGAGGCCGGCAAGAAGAAGCTCATTGACGCCTCGTGGGCCCACACGTCTCTCCCGAAGATCAGGCTGGGGGCCACTGAAGAGGCCGACGGCAATGCCAACGAGTGATGACTGCTGGAGCAGGGCCGCACGTGACTGTGCCTGCGCATGCGGTCCTGTTGGAGAAGGCATCTCGAGCGCAGCCGCTTGCTAGGTTAGCCGCCCAGGAGGCGCACCCGCTGAAGGAAGGTCCCTTGGATTCCGATTCAGGCGACTTACTTCAGCAGTCCCGAGCTCGTGCAAGCACGAGGGAGGGCCTCCAATGTTTTAGGATTCTTCGCTCAGCAGCGGTTTCGAGGATGCCTTCGTCGCGTCCGACCCCGCCTGTCTTCGCGAGCCAGAAATTAGCCGAAACGTGCGAACGCAAAGCGACGCTATGTAAAGCACAGCAAATCAGAGCAAGGCAAAGCAACGCAAATCAACGCTATTCAACACAGAGTGCTTGTCATTGACAAGCAATGTAAAGCAGTGAATGCCATACGACAGTGCGCAGCAAACAAACACCGAAACGAAGCAATGCAACCTGGCGCAACGCCAAGGAATGCACGGCAGTGCCAGGCAACTCAAAGCAGCGCCAAGAAAGGGGAAGGGAAGCCAGCGCAATGCAACTCAATGAATGGACTTGGCAGCGGCAACGAGGCGGCAACGATGCGGCAACGGGGCACCCGCGACCAGAACAGCTGGAAAGCGCGCCCCGTGCTCTCTCCAACAAAAAACCAAGCATCCGCTAGTGCAAGCACTGCTTGGGAAACTACGTACTTTGGGAGCGTCTCGTCTGCGGTGCTTGTGGGACCAGCCTGACGACATAGCAGGCGGCCGTCGCGCCGTCCAGTTGTCTCGAACCCGTCTTCGGGCGCTTCCTGTCAAACCTTGGACCGTCGGCGGCACGTCGGTGGGCACCGTGCTGGAGCCCGCCAGAGCCGAATTGTGTTGACCGGTCTCCCGCGCACTCCCGCGCTCTCAAGGCCTGGGTGGGTCACGGCTGAGGTCGACCCGACTTGGTCGGAGCGAAGGAAGAGGGACGAGGAGAAGGAGGCTTGAGGAGGGGGCTGGAGGAAAATGATGCGAACAAGAAGAATGCTTACAATGATGAGCACTCCGACGGGAAGAATCTGCATGTGAATATCTGTAGTGCGCATGACCGTCGTCATCATCAACCGCTAACGATGATGATACCAGGATGCCCGGATGCGACCTGAGGTCGTTGAGACTTGTGGGGGCAGTGGAGCCTTTGAGACCTGCGGGGCCTGTGGGACCTCTGCGACCTGTCGGGCCTGTGCGGCCTGTTGGGCCTCTGCGACTTGTAGGGCCTGTGAGACCTGTGGACCTGGGGGACTTATGGGCTCCGTGGAACCTGTGGGACCAGTGGGGCCTCTGGAACCTGTGGGACCTGTGGGGCCAGTTGAACCTGTGAGACCTGTGGGAACCATGGGGCCTGTGCGGCCTGTGGGGTTGGTTGGACCTGTGGGACCTGTGGGACCTATGGGGCTTGCGAGCCTTGTAAGACGTGTGGGGCGGGGCCTGTGGGACTTGTGGGACCTGTGCCACCGATGGGGCCTTTGGAACCTGTGGGACCGTGCGACCTTTGCGACTCGTGGGAACCGTGGGGCCTGTGTCTCTTGTTCGGCCTGTGGGACCTGTGTAACCTGTGCGCGCCCGGCTCCTGCTCGAGACTTTTTCGCGATTCATTCACAGACGAGGCTCCCGCTCGAGAACTTCTCCAGATTCATGCGTGAGGAGCCCAGAGGTAGCGACAGTTCCAAGTTGTCCGATGATCCGCGCGGGTTCGAACATGGAGTCAGGAACTCCGAGAGAGCGCGCCCACAGGGCCCGAGCAAAGGGGAGGGGGGGGTAGGCTTAAGCTACCCCCGCCTTCCTTGAGCCGCCCTTGTTGGAAGCACCCCCCCCCCTCCCCCCCTTTTTTTGCAGGGGGGGGGGGCTTACAGCTACCCCCCCCCCTCCCCCCTTGGGCCCTCCCCGGAAGCTACTCCCCCCCTCCCCCCCTTTCCAAAGGGGAGGGGGTGCTTAAGCTACCCCCCCCTCCCTTGGCGCTGCCCTGCTGGAAGCTACCCCCCCCTCCCCCCCTTTCGTGCAAAGGGGGGGGGGTGCTTGGAAGCTACCCCCCCCCTTTGTGGCCGCCCGGAAGCTACCCCCCCCTACCCCCCTTTCCAAAGGGAGGGGGGTGCTTAAGCTACCCCCCCCTCCCTTGGAGCCGCCCTGCTGGAAGCTCCCCCCCCCTCCCCCCCTTTGTGCCAAAGGGGGGGGGGGCTTGGAAGCCCCCCCCCCTTCCCCCTTTGGCCGCCCAGCCCCCGGAGCCTCCGCCCTCCCTTTCGCCGACGATCCAAAATGAACAATCCACGATCGAGGATGGACGATCGACGATCAACGATCGACGATCGAAAATCCCAATCGAATCGCTTGCAATCGATTGCACTCCATTCCACTGCAATCCCCCTCCCCACCTCCCTCCGCTCCCTCCCCTCCCTCCACACCCTTCGTTCCATCTCCTCCCTCCCCTCCCTCTCCTCCCCTCCCTCCCTTCCGTCCTGTCCCTCCCCTGCAATCCAATCGATTGAATCGATTGCAATTCAACCGATTGCAATCCAATCGATTGCAATCCAATGGATTGCAATCGAATCGTTTGCAATCCAATGGATTGCAATCGATTGCAACGCAAGTGTATCATTCAACTCGTCCCGTGCCAACGCCCGGGAACGAAACATTACCCTGGCGACGTACCCAACCCCTGCGCAAACGCGGGGCGCAAATAGTTTAGGACACTTTATAAGGGGGGCGATGACGGAGCGAGGGTTACATATGTCTGCAGACGGAATTCGGGAGACTCGCAGGAAACTGGCTTCAGGACAAGGACTAGATAAAGCTGATTAGTTGCAATCCCTGAGCAACCCTAGCCACTTCGAAAGCGGGGATCTCAGATCGCAGCCCCCCAGGGATGGCGAGGTCTAATTTGGGTCCGCGCGTGGCGTCACTGTGCTGGGCCCCCCAGCAGGCCTCGAAAGTGGCGACAGTTTCACAGATCGCAGCCCCCCAGGGATGGCGAGGTCTAATTTGGGTCCGCCGTGGCGTCACTGTGCTGGGCCCCCCAGCAGGCCTCGAAAGTGGCGACAGTTTCACAGATCGCAGCCCCCCAGGGATGGCGAGGTCTAATTTGGGTCCGCCCGTGGCGTCACTGTGCTGGGCCCCCCAGCAGGCCTCGAAAGTGGCGACAGTTTCACAGATCGCAGCCCCCAGGGATGGCGAGGTCCGCCCGTGGGTCACTGTGCTGGGCCCCCCAGCAGGCCTCGAAAGTGGCGACAGTTTCACAGATCGCAGCCCCCCAGGGATGGCGAGGTCTAATTTGTCCGCCCGTGGCGTCACTGTGCTGGGCCCCCCAGCAGGCCTCGAAAGTGGCGACAGTTTCACAGATCGCAGCCCCCCATGGGCCCCCCAGCAGGCCTCGAAAGTGGCGACAGTTTCACAGATCGCAGCCCCCCAGGGATGGCGAGGTCTAATTTGGGTCCGCGCGTGGCGTCACTGTGCTGGGCCCCCCAGCAGGCCTCGAAAGTGGCGACAGTTTCACAGATCGCAGCCC